AATCGCTAAATGACAGTGGAAAGGTATTACGCCATGACGAATGTTCACAGAGAAAGTTAGTCTTTGTTTCAATTTTGATACTAAGCATCCAATGATAAATAACTGACCCTTGCCACAATCTGCTTTATGAATAGTTCATAGCTGAAAGGCTTCAGTTTCGTATTGTATGTATATTGATTTTCAGGTAGCTAGTAACAGATAGTAAGTTGCTAATCGGAAATGTAATTGTAACAGGATTCAGCAACATTCTGATAAATCGTATCCTCGGTACGAATGGCAACCAATAGTCGATTCTTCCTTTCTCTGCTCATACACATGTCGCTTGGTTTAATGATAGGACTGAAAGCCTTGTTCATTCGCACTATTATGCATTCTGATGCGTGCATGCAAGAGACACGAGGAATAAGTCAATGGTAGGCCAAAAATTGACAATGCTAAAGAAAAGAGGAAATAACGAATTGAAAGGCCAGAAAACGTGGCACCATGCCGCATAGGACGACAAAAGATGAGCGGCGGAACCATCGATCCCACTATAGATCCATGAATATCGAAAATATTCATACATGCAAAGGACTTCTGTGAACGAAAATACTCTACTGCGAATAAGATAAAAAAGTATATAAATTCATTGCGGTTCACTTGATGAACGAGAAGAAAAAGTTGAGGTTGGTGAAGTCAAAGAAATTTTGACCAAATGTGATATTGACGAAATGTATGATAACATATGAAATATCGGTGATGCTAGCGAAATGCGTAGTCGAATCACCGTACTGGATCACTGAAAAACAAAGCAGAATCACTACTTATCGTAGAACTTTGAAATGAATTTAATATCCGTGCATAAGTGCAGCAGGCTTCCTCGCAATAAGCAATACACAATATGAATTAAACAGTTTTATTCATTTCCTGCAAATCTTTATTTCTGAGTTTCAGCCTAATTACAACTATTTTCGAATGAGCCCATTTGTAAAGCATTGGCGGTCAGCCGATTCCATGAAAAGCTGCAATAATGTGATGTTGTTCGGTTGGAGTTTCAACTGCCGGATAGTCTGCTAGATTAGTTCTCAACATGTCTGTCTTTCATCGTAGATCGATCAGTAGTCATGGTGACCGTTCGCCAAGTAAACGGACGAACGCAAGAGTGAGTTGCAATGGCCGTCAATCAGCGCTGAACCAACTGCTTGAACCACGCCAGTGAGAAATTGCGGTGCTTTGGGATAACGACAGCGTAGTCGGTGTCTTGCGCGATTTGGTGCAGTCGATTATGAGCTCTGAGGCAGAGAAAGCCCGAAAGTATCTGCAGGAAAAGGAGATCCCGTTGATCTTCGAAGTAAGTGTATACATGCCTTTCTATTCTGCAGTAGACATGTGTTTGTAGAGTCTAATGACTGGCTTGATGTGCAATAAGCCTGATGATGCCATTGATTTCATGATGTGCGCGCTGTACGCATTGAAGACGGACCCAACTATCAAACTGACTTGGGAAACGTTCGTCGAGAAACCGCCACCTTCGGTATCTCTAACAGCTAGAAAATCTACACCTGGTAAGATCGATTTCAACCTCATTTTATGACAGAAATAATTCGATGCTCTGTAGCCAAACGTAAGCATTTAGCCGTTATAGTTCTTAGCGCTTTCGTGACGTCATTGTGCCGCGTGAGTTATATTGTGCTAGTCGAAGCAGGGCAACCAGGTACAGTGTGTTGCAGCAATTCAATTGTATTGTCACACATCCTGGACGTATCCACGACATTTTTCTTTAGGATGTATTTTCTATATTTGTTCGTCAACACCCACTTGTATTACCACGACAAATCATTTCGTTTCCACCATAACCTCTCCTTTTCGAAATCGGGTGATCGAGCTTTACAGGTTGATTCTATTGGACGCAAAGCAGCACAGTACCTCCAATGTGTAACTTTCTCGCTTCATTATCAGGTCTGGGTAAGACAGATCTCTCCTCTTCACTCTTTGTTTGCTTCTGCTATCGGTGCAAATAAAGGCGAACCATTCTTCAGACAGAATGCGAGACGAAACTTCCACTGTTCTTTGCGGATATTGGCTACATTCAGTAGACCAAGCTTGATGCTTCTTCTCCACAAACATAACTTATCCAAAGATGATTTCAAACGGAGCTACTGTATTCCGTTAATTGCTCTGACGTTACGATCAAGAGTGTCGAAAGAGGCACGGGACTATTTCAGGGCACCAGAAGTATGCGTTGGCACCGGCATGATTCGGATATTAACAGCTTTGATCTTACTGACGGAGGAAAGTTGTGTTTCCAGGATTAATATGAGGCACTTCTTGAATGCCCGTATTGCCACTAATATCGACCCGGAGAAGTTCCTACAATCGTAAATATTCATAATGTGCGTCTTGATTTGGATCTTGAATCTCTGTTCCCATCCACGAGATGCGGGCATTCTCTTTGCAGGGTCTTTCATATCTAAAACGCATAATTGCAGACTTGCCTAAACCGAAGACCACTCTGACTAATCGACAAAAGATACAAGATTAGGTACACGCAAAATGCCATGAGAAGAGGAAGAGATTTGTACTGTTCTTCTTCTCGTAAAGTAGCTGCATGTTAATTTGCTTAACTACCTACTAAGCTGGTTCAGCGGTAATCGAAAACAAATGAAACTGACACTGTCTAATTGAAATATGTCTCTTCTGGTCCGGATCTATTCTGTCGCATATTGATATGGACCTCTTCCAGAAACGTAGTGGAGTTCGCTCTATCACAGTGAAATGAGTCATTTCGGCAGCGATCATACCATCCACATTTATATCTGCAGCACTCTCAGCTACCATTAATGAGGGACCGAGTCAAAAACTCTCTTATAATCAGCGCAACTAATTAAAATGCTACGTTTCATGCATGATTAGTTGGCAACAACTAAATAAATTATAAGAAGTTCGTTGCAGCCTTGACTTCCTTGCCTGCAGCCATTTTGTTCTGTTGTTTAAACGGTTTTCGCGAGAACGTTCGATCTGACCTTCATCGCCAGAACTGACTTTAACAGCTTGTAGACGGTAGAAGAGCATCTTTTCGGCCTCAAGTTCGTAGGAACAGTTACATGTACGTTACTCTTTCAATTAGGTAACTGAGAGCGAGATAAGATCTGCCAATATTGCTCGAAACTGCGACGCCAGTACGCGGTGAGTGCAACTGAAGAACTTTTAGCGATAATTATTGATGTCAATTAGTCTTGGCGAATTCCATTTGTATGTGCCTTTAGTAGCATCCAAGATATCTGTAGGTGTGATCCAGCTACACCGCCTCGTTCTGTACTTCTAACCATTGCACTTTAATATCATACCTTTATGGATGTTCCTTTATCTTAATCCATTTTCTATGACCGCTTTTGGGTCCGGTGTTTAGCATGCTTGATTCAGTTGAACATGCTGCTGTAATGAGGCAAAGACTTTGTTGCAGTTAATTCAAAACGTATCATTCGAGTCTTTTCTTTTGGTTGCTCATTGTAACGTTTCATACTACAACTGCAATTTTCTGTTTAAGAAACGCTGAACTTACAGTAAAACGTTGTAGAAATTCCTTCGGGGTCATTCACATTCTTGAGCTTTTATACAATCCGACAGCAGCTTCAAAAAATTTTCGTACCAGCACTCTTGGAATCTTCTAAGTACGTAGTTAAGATGACAATTTCAGCATGCTGTTACTGTGTCTTCTCTTCTAGCCGCCTTTTAAATGGCTGCCTTGCCTCTGCTTTCAAGGCTTGGCTGGTTTTCATTCGCTGGTCTGACACGCAATTCAAGAATAATGCGCAGTACAATTGCAGCGACACGTTTCTTCGAAGCCTTATCTTTCTGACCTCCTACAGCATCCTCGAATTCAACTCATTGCCATCTAGTTCGTGAAAGGAACCAAAGCTATGGGCAGTACAGAAGACTTTAGCTGGAAGGGGAAATTAGGGAAATCAACAAGGCAGAGTGTCAGCGTTCAAAGGAGTGCGACAGTTCTCCCGTAAGCAATTAACTCAGTTTGTCCTAGTCCAGGATGATAACGGTGTCCCATGGGGAAGTCAGAAGGAACGCCTCAAAAATGGGATAAGCATTTCAAGCAGCTGCTGCTCGGCTGTCCTCTAGATTCATCATTCTGACCGTTAATTGCCTACCATCACTAGAGGTTAGTTCAGATTCACCCACAAAGCTAGAAATTTTAAAAGCCCCGTCATACTTCAAGGTGAAAGAAACCCGCGGATTGGATCCAGCGAATTAAGTATGGAGAAACGGGAATAATTGAAAAGCTCAATGCCGTGTTTCATCAAATGTTGACCTGCAATCATTTCCCAGGAGAATGGAAATGTGGAGTAATTTTCTCTCTATTTAAGGGAGATCGGTTTATCCAGTTTTGCAATTATCCTGGTATTACAATACTTTCAACTCCCAGGAGGCTTTTCCCTGATCATCTTGTAAAGGCTTAGGCAGGCAATCGATGGGAGACTTCATTCAAATCAGACATGTTTCCGGATGAGGTACTCCTGCCCTGACCGAATTTTCCCTGCGTAAGATCAGTGAGCAATACCAACGATCCCAATTGTCTTGGTTTGCCACTTTCCTCAACTTTTCAGCAGCATTTGATTCGCTACATCACTCGACAGTGGGAAAATCTTGAAATGC